AATAATAATCTTGGACAATAATATTACATGTATTAGACAACTGATACAAATACATTTTTTTCGTAAATACATACATACCTAATATACATATAAAATACCCAGACCAATACAAACAATCAAACTCATGATTCCATATACAAACCCGCGACAATCGGTAGTAAGCCATGTGCTAAACTTCTAGACCACCGAGGTATAAAATATCTTTCAAATGATTATTTAATTATAGACTTCATCAATATAATCAAAAAAGAAACGAGAAGAATTACTAGGAAGCTCGTAACGAAGGCGCCAAGAGCAGTCGGCGTTAATAACAGACATACGGGTATGCGTTAACGACCTTAATGCTTTGTTGTCATGCAAATTGTTTTAAAATAAAAGAATTGAAGCTAACAATGGATACATTTATTCCCTTTGTTGTTCATCACTTGCAACAGTGGGCGGGGTGTCCTCATTGAGGCCATGTAATGCTATGTATGTGCTTATAAGTATGCAGCTTTGTTTTTATATAACATTGAATGGCACACCAGCTGACGACCTGCCGAAAGGAAAGTGGTAAACCTCGATTGTCGATCAACAGCACTGTGGATATTATTCACAGAGTACATATACTAGAATATCCTTGGTAAACTTATCAGAATTATTTCTAACTAGCGACCCGTCCCGGCTTCATACGAATGCATTACAAATCTTTGAGTATATTTCTATTTTTTAAAACACAAATTATCAATATAGAATTTCGATAATCTAATCCTTCAGTCAAGTTTTTTATTCCCTATAAATCAAATCACGCAATTCAAATATTATTCTCATTGAATTTATTCAAAAGCAGGGTTGTAATGAATACAAATCAGTCTTACAGGATCTACTCATTAGATTAGTTGGACAATGACGCTAGAAAATGGATCTAGTCTAGTACGTAGCAGTACTTAAAAGATGTACCTACAGATCAATACACAATTGGACGCCAAACCAAACTTCTTTGTGGAAGCTATTTTAATGTAGAAGAACATCAGGAAGAAGTATTATTAGGATACACCGGTGCTGATAGCAGTAGTAGATGATAGAATGAGGAAAACATAAAATAAGTTATAGGTCCCTCCTATAACTTATTTTTCATACATTAAATGATGAAAGAAAAACCGTCACCGTTCAAGTCGCAAATATTTTTAGTGACTAAAGTTAGTTAGTGAGTAAAACAGTTTGTAACAAAAATAATAATTAACATATACAGGAATCTCACACAACTTATTTTTCCTAACTGTTTTAACTGGAACTTCATCTATCCAATATCTTTCCAACCGAAAATAATTACTATAAATGAAAACTAAATATATTAAATCTTGATCCCTCTACAGGATCTATTCAAGGTATCTCTATAACATATTTTATAGAAATCGGACATAACATTATATACTTACATGACATTGTTAATAATAGGCTAGTAAAAAGTTAGATTTATCTAATAATTCCTATTAATATTGAGAAAGAACAAAAAATCGTGACGAACTAACATTATACTAAGCCCTACAAAATTGAAAAACGTGTATGGTGGAGGTATTGCATAATATATAAACTTAAAAAAATAGTCTTATTGACAGTTTCCTTCATAAAAAACAAATGTGCAGGTAAACTGTAATCATCTCGTCATTAGACATAACTTAAGCTTAGCAACATGTATTATTTAAGCTAGAGATCCATTAAAAGGTAGTTAGTATAATATATTAGAAATACCTACTACATAGAATTTTACTAAACTTTTAACCGAATTTAATAATGCAATCTCTAATTTTTTGTACTCCTCCTTTTTTAATTATACTCCACCAATTCGGTAGAATCTTAAGGAATGTAAGAGCAAGTATCTTGCCATAAGCACAGATAACATATGCCATAAGTATGGTAGGATACAATTCATATCATTGTAATCGGTTTCGTAGATTGGTTTTTAAATATAAGTAAGATAACGACTTCAATCGTTAGCATCAAACCCATGACTATCGAAAGTAAAGCGTAAAAATACATATGTATGTATTTGTTAACGATTGAAGTTATTTTCTTTTTCTGGAACCTTAATATAAGTATACTAAGAGTATTAGATAGAAAAATTCGGCCCTGAAAATATAAATATACTAAATGACAGGCATAGAGAGATTATGTTCTTACAATTTGCTAAAAATATTCTACTTTTCATGCGTTGCCTACGGTGACTAAGTACATATAAACGCAAGTCTGCGTCTGAATGCTGTCTAAGATTGGGATCTTGAGAAGACTATAAATACCTATAGCGTGTATAGAAACTGTCCTAATTTTCAATGTACCAATATATTTATTAAATTCAGTTTAGTTCTGTATTTTATGGAATTGAAGCTACTGTTACTTTATTTCGTCATCGCATAGTACTATTTTTATTTTATTTATTTAGCTTAGGATCACAATAGTGAGCATGTTAGCTGCGGCTTTGTTTATTAATTAGTTACACCTTACATATTTACATTACACCTAAAATTTAATTCACACTAAAGATAAATATTACAATTTTTTTTTATCCACAAATTTATAAATTATTAGTACAGATTCTTTTGATACAGGTTCTGATAAAACCTACTATAATCATTGAAATTTTGAGAATTGTAAAAATAAAATAAAATATATTTATGGCATAATGAAATTCGTAGAATTATAATTTATTAAGTAGCAAGTATGTGTCACGAATATACCTACATAATACTTTCGTACCTTGTCACAATAATATTTTAATGGTATTATGTAACGTAATGTTTGAAAACGTCAAGTCACTCTGACAAAGTACTAGAGTGTTACCTAAACAGCTCGGGGCTATACGTATAGCTTATAACAGAATATCTGTACGTGTAGTATTATTAAGTAGTTAGTGGTATTTTTCTAGAATACTGTTTACTTTTTGTTTTCTGGTTTTAAAGACTTCAACACACGCTGCTATATTTTTTATTTTATGACTGGTTATTCTGATGCCGTCTTCAAGCGCATAAATTACTACTTGTGTGTGAGTAGTACCACTGAACTAAAAACCTCTTAATTCATATGTACTATATTGTATCTATAAAGTACTAAAAATTATAAACGTATAAGGAAACATTTATGTATGCGTCTTTTTAAAATATGGTAATCTATTTCGTATTTATAAAACTAAATAGAGATAATAAACGAGTTAGGTTAATTAGATTTTAATAAACATATTCATTATGAATTTACACGATTCGTTGATAATAGAAAATGTTATGGACTTAAAGGGGTCAGAATGTTGGAGTTCGTCTAAAGTTCTAAACGTTTCAACGTAAAGTAAAATAGGCCGCATAGGACCTTGCTGGAGGGAGTTTAATTAAGCGTTGGGTTTTCCTTTTTACTCCAGGGTAATCAAGGATGTTAAAAAGTACTTTGTACCGAAAATGTATGACAAGGACACGCTAATATTAAATCAGTTTAATATTCTCATTTCTCATATACGTTTTGATAACTTTGGTGGTACAGCGGCTACCTTACCTCACTCTTAGATATCTGCGGGTTTTAGAACTCGATGTGTGTGTATAGTATGTGTACGTACATAGTATGTTGTATATCTTTTTTTTAAATGTGTGCAAATTTAATTAACTCTTTTGATGTTATCCCATATTATATATATTTTTAATGTAATTTGTATGGCACCATTATAAGTAATTAGCTGACGGCCCACTTGATTGGTCACTTAGTGACGCATATCAGGGGGGAAGGGGATTATTAGTAATGGGGTCTAGTGTCCCCAATGCTATGCTAGCAATGTACCATGTGAAATCGACCTACAAGCGAGTCCCTCCATCGTGGTTAATTCCTGGTTATTTAATCACGATGTGCAAACTGACCTGACCTCATGGTCATCTTATCATCCTCCACTGGTACCCCGTCAGTGTAAACTATTAGCGGAGGCGGGGCACCATTACATTGTCATCCATAAAAAAACTGACGCATGATAACACCCATGTTTTGCCATTTAAGGAAACTAAGGAGTCATGCTTCTTATCCTGTATATAAAGGTTATTTAGTTTAAAAATCCTTTGCGTGAGAGAATAACAAACATCCATCCAACTATACTAACAAACTTTTGCGTATATAATATTAAAATTATATTATGATGTATGATTTGTGCAAATGTAAGTAGAACTATAATATCACGTCGCCACTAGTTGAAATTAAAAGTGAAACCTTTCCATTGAATATTTCATTAAAAGAGAAAGAAGTTTGTGTTGTTCATTAGTTTTAGGATTCCATTATGAATCATCAAAATCAATATGCAAGTCATTTTATACCCCAAGTGAGGTAAAAAAAGACTTTATGCTGGTTCCATATTATGTACATATTTATGTTTATAATGTACCTCAGTGCATGATCGTTGTAGTAAAGTCATCTTCACATTTAGCTGCCAATGTACAATAAATATATAATAAATAAATTTTACAGGAAAATGGCCATGCCTCTCGCCATCACTCTGAATATTCTGATATTTTGTCGATGTTTCAATTACCGGAGAGTCAGTTAGAACAATTTTTTAATAGATAATAATGGAATGGTACATTCGCCTGCGATAAAGGTATACCCTGGCGGGGCACCAGTAGAGGATGATTAGATGAAAAGAAGGTCAGGTTAGTTCACCAAGATTTTATCACGATGGTATTCAGGGGGAACCGCATGGAAGTCAACCTGTCATAGTATGTTGCTAGCAGTGGAATCATTATAGTTCCCATTATTAACAATCTCTTTCCCTTCCATGTCAGAACTATTGATGTGTATAAATGTTTTTGACGTTGACTTTCGAACTCAAGACTTTTAGGATCAAGTTGAAGTAGTAAACCATGACGCTTACTTGTGCAAATAAATTGGTTTAATAAATCTATACTTGATATCTTGTTTATCAGTATTGATATACATTATGGCAATATATTGGGGATGCCGGCGCCGTCGTCGCGGAAGTTCGCAAGCGTCGTCAGTGTCCATTCTGTTCACAGTGTTTACACACGCGCTCACGCCGCGCTACACTACTCTGCGCCCGCGCATGTTACATCTCTACTATTCCTTTGTTTCGCTTGCACCGGTAAGCTTATATTCTAATTAAGATATAACATAGAATATATTACTGATTGATTTTAATTAATTAATATGTATATGACAATAATAATGGATTTTTATTTTACGGGTGCGCATAAAAAATAAATATTTTTTATTTATTTTTTTGTTAACGTGTATGAGATATCTTTAAAGTATCAATAACAAATTGTTGTTATCTATCTATTAAGATAGATATTAATTCAATATGTAATTGCGTATTTAATTAATATGTATCTTATTTATAATAATAAAATATAAATATTTTTGATACATTTTTTATTTTAAATTCTTAGTCTTTTTATTTTACTTACTAAACCACGAAGAAACTGTTATTTTACATGTGTATATATAATTTATTCTGAAATATATATATTTTGGACTGAACAAGAGCTCCTGACTTGAGTACGTAACTAGTGGTAATCGCGTGACAATTTTTTAATAAACTGTATAAATATTATTATACTAAAACTATGATAAGTTATTATATAACACTTGTACAGATAAAAACTAAATAAGGTATAATTCTACTGAAATATAACTGTACATATACCAACAATAATACAGTTAAGGAAGTGAATAGTGACGATTAATTTAACATTTCAATTTATGGAATGGTTAATTTTAAAACATTGGAAACCAGTCATATGTTGATATGGCAATAGCAACATAAACATTACAAAATACCTACACAGTTTCTACATTACTAGTATTTATTTTTAGATGTGTTAAATTTAATTTTTGTTTAATGGATTAATTTTTGTTTATGTATTTGAAATACAATGTAACTTCAAACCGGATGAAAACGGCATACATCGCCTAATATTAACAGAAACTAGGACTCGCGTGGATACGTCGAAAGACTAAGGTAGGTAGAATCCCTATACTATAATTTAACTAACAAAGACATAAAACTTACATAAGCAAAAATCTCCCAGATCAAATCATAATTTAAAAAAACAATCTGATAGGCATAACTAAAGTATAGTCATGGATTTTCGTGAAGAAGATTTTACAAAATCTACCTCGGTTGAATGAATACAATTTAAAATAACATAATCACAATAGTAAGCCTGTTTAGGGTGACCGTCTATATATATATTATTAACGTGAATAATGTAATAAAGTAAAAGAATGGTGATAAAAAAGATTTTGATTGCTTTTGATTTAACACTTAAAGAGAATAATGGAAGATCATGGGAAGTAGCTAGAGCGTGGCTTTTAATTTATAAATGAATGAAAGGTTTCGACGTTTGTCTGTTTATTTGTTTGAATTGTCCTAGCAACGGTAACTAGCAGCTACTTATTAGTAATTACTAACGCTAGTAGGTTAGATTGATTAATACATTGGGGCCAGTTTTGTTGCTTGTACATACGTTTATTACTGAGACGCGAATTAATAACTATTGCAGCCGTAACAACAAACGCACGCTTCAGACTTGCAACAAAAGATATATTCAGTAATGGAATAGCGTTTATTATTTTTTTTATTGTCAATAAAACTTCTGTAGGTACTAAAACAATACTAACTTTCACAAAGACATATTAATTTATATGGAAATTAAAAGGGCAACTTGATGTTAGAAATGCTGTATAGGAAATTCTACATTATAAAATATCATTTGTTATGTTGTCTTCATAAGTAGCATTTTTTGAAGTAGGAATTTTTTGGGTACATTTTATAACACTATAGTAAAAATATTACGTAAATTAGATAAGTAGTTAGTAAGACATTTACTTATGATATCTATTTAATTACATATCGAAGTACTACAATGATTTAAATGATTGCTTCTGACTATTTTAGATATTATTATATTCATTTTCGAATCATGTTTCTTATATAAGTATTAATCAATATGTTTTTTTTTATTTCATGAATTTATTAATCTTAACTTTTATTATCTTGTTGAAATTTATTAGTTAGTAATTTTAACTAACTGTGGTTTATTTTAAACAAAGCTTACTACATACATTTTAGTATATCCTCAAAAACGTACGTAAAGATACTTTAAATAATACCGATCGATTTGATTTGCAGTAGGTATCCATAGTCAGCTGAATACAACTTAAATTAACTGTATATAAAAAATAACTAACGCACAAAAATAGATATTCTAAGAGGTATTAGCTTCATTCGTTACAATAATCATTTGATAATAATCTAGGACGCACCGACACACCTATACAAAATACCTTGGAAACGATATATAATATTATCACACACAAACATTATTTTTGTTTTATCATTTATTTTGTTATATTCTTTAGGTAGTTAATGATAAATAGGTAAAGATACTGACTTATCAAATTAGTGTGCGTTCAAAACAATAAGTAAATATTTACAAAATTACTAGATGTGTATTTGTACATTTTTTTGTATACTCTGTGATTGGATAAATATGTTTACATGCAGTGAGATATTGTTGATGATTAGTTATTGTTCTAAAAGTTGACAAGCAAGGATTATTTTATCACTTTAGCGTTATCTTGATTTTGTATACATATACAGTATAATATGACATATATCTTATAGGTATAGCTTCCGGGAGAAAATGTCGCAGTTATTACGAAAACAATCCATTTTCTCAAAATCCGTTGTTGGATTTAGAAGAAGCTATAATAAGATAAGCGCTTTACTTTATAGTATTATACTTATAAAATAAATTAAATATTTTTTTACAAATATAATATATTTATATTATAATTTATAATAGATTCAAATACAGATTTAAATGTATAACAAATATTCCTTTTTTCCTTCCTTCCCTATGTATGCAAACCTTTAAAACTACGGTTTATATATATAATACATACACAGCCGTGCGAAGCCGAGGCGAGTAGCTAGTTAATAATAAAACTCACTTTAACAAAATAATAGTGTTAATAAATACATCGGCGTTGTGTGAAAACAACTTTGTATAAAAAAAAACATTCGAAAGACTGGTTCCTCCATTTTTCAAGTCGGTTGTAAAACGATAGTGTGTACCTACTTCGTCTGCGGCGAGCGATGGCCGGTGACCTTCGCCGCGGATATTCGCTTACACACGTGCTGCTTTGATTACACATCCACTTAGATGTTATACACCTTAGTTTTAATTACATATGTCTTGTTTATTTTATTTGTAACAAAAACAACTAATTTAAATTGAAATCTCTCTCTCTCATTTTTAAGAAATTCATTGTAACTTGCGACTTTGTGAAGATAATTAGAATTAATATGTATAGATTATAGACATGATTCATCTATGAGGGTACCGAATTTTATTTATTCATTTAAAGAAAAACCATCCGAATATTCTGATATACAATAATATTTACAAACTATCCCGTAATTAAGTTGATATAGCTATTTCTTTAATTCAGTAAATATTAACATGAAGTTCAAATGAAAACCAATTGAAATACTTCTTTAATCACTAAGTAACGATATACGTTTCAATACTAAATAAATACTCCATATATTTTACGAGGAGCTAATGAGACTTCAGATATGAGGTAAGTATTATTTACCAGTTTATGGGCGACTGAATGACTCAGAAATTCTAATGTCCATAATGTTAGTAAACACAATGTGCGGAACGATTGGAGTTGTAGTTTGTATACACAGTGATGTCAGATTGAGCGTATTCTCCCTGAATTTGGGGGATTTTGTATTGTCGTGAATAATTTGAAGAGAACAAGTGTTTGGGCTGATATTGGGAAAAAAAAGTAAGCTAAGCATAGACAAACAAGAAATGTGGCACACGCGACTTAAAAGAAGGGTTGACAAGATCGCAAACCCTTGAAATATAAAAAGGTACTGTTAAATAATAGTGCGAATAACAAAGTTTTAATGAAGGGATTTTCTACAAAACTTGGACTTTGTAGGAACTTTAAGTAAAATTTAGGGGAAAGCAAGACGATTATCTGGTAACTCTGATTACAGTCAACTACTCCACTCCATTTATATGACTATTACATGAGTTCATTAGCATAGTTACTAGTGCTTATCACTTATAAGGCACTGTATGATGCTTGCGACTTTGTTTGCAAAGAGTTAGTACTTCGAGTAGTCAATCTTCTTATCAAAAGTATATTTATGATGAGAGAAATTATTTATTGACTATTTCTACCTTTCTAAATTTTATTCTGCGATAAAAATGGACTTTACATCAAAATTAGTTCAATGGTTTAGGCGAAAAAGGTAACAGACAGATATACGGGGCCAGTCACAGATTTATAATTCTTACTAATATTATAAATGCGAAAATAACTCTGTCTGTCTGCCAGTCGGGCTTTCATGCCGAAACCACCGAACAGATTTAAATGAAATTTGGTACACAGATAGTCTAGATCCTGACAAAGGACATAGGCTACTCTTTAATGCGAAACAAGGGTTGCAAGGGGTTGAAAGGGCATATGGAAGTATCGTCATTTTACGCAGACGAAGTTGCGGGCGCAGCTAGTGGATTATAACTTGAAATTTCCGACACATTTTAATTTGTTATTATTAAATGTAATCATAAATTGTTGAAGGTGTTTGAAATTCAAGTGCTAATGCTCAGTAACGGCTCAATCCTTTATGTCGATTGAATACTAATAAAGTATCTACGAATCTATCAATATACCAATAATCATCAATAGACAGACCAAGGTCAAATCAATTTTATTACATAATACATTAAAAAGGTCCTTAAATATTAAATAGATAAAAGCACTTAATTTAGTTACGTTATATTTTTTGTTTGAACATTAACTAATAAAAATTTAAGTAATTTAATTTTGATATTTCTTTTTCATCAGACAAGTAATCTGTTGTTGCTTCCACATTTTCTATGCATGATAAAAACACCTTATCTTGCTGACACCAAAAATATTATTAAATGCTATTGTATACAAAAATTGTAGGAGTATATACTCAGTGCAAAATAGCGACCCACTTCCATGAATATAAATATCTACAACGTTATACTCTATGTGTACCGTATGTGATCCTAGACCATATTA